AGCATGTGTATCCAGGAAGATTCTCCAAATGAAAGTATATGTTGCAAAATCTTTGATAGAATGGGAAGAATAGTATGGTAGAGTACCAGAGTGTAATACTGAGTTTCATGCATATTATTTGATTGTATGCTTCAGTAAAAGTGACACAAGCTACAAAACATTACAGAAGGCTATAGGGACGTAGTGCTCTCCACAACACCTGGTCTTCCCCTTCAGTTTCCTATCCCTCCTGACAACTCACTGTCTGTGAGTCACACTGTGCATTCTGACACAACTCTTACTTCTGTGCAGTGAAGGCCTGAGCAGCTAAATGTCATATTGAGGTCTTAACACACACAAATGCAAAGGTTTTAGACAAAGCTATACAACTAATCTGTGATGAATTATTTCAATGTAACATTTATATGATGGGAGGATGCAGGGATCCTTGTGCAGCCACAACAGATGGTAGACAAACAGAAAAAAATGCCATCCTTCCTGCAGAAAGTTTGCAATCTAGACATAAGTTGCAGATATATTTCTGAATACTGTAATGTACTGTATAAGTAGCTTATGAGAATTCCATAGACTGAAATACATTCTCCTAATGCCAATGACAGGTAATTTTGAGCAATTATGTTTGTTTTGTTTTTTTCAATTTATCTGTTGGCAGCTTTTGAACAGTTCAAATATTCACTTCGTGTAACTTAACCAGATGCAACAGAAAGAAATGAGTAAAAGCCTTTCATGAATTAGAAAAACAATTTAAAACACATAAAGAACACCAAAAACTATAATTTATTTCTGTACCCTCTCAAGTACAGAGTGTCCTGTGCACTAGTAGAGGACATTCTATACTATAAGACTGTTGAACTGCTATAATTAAAGGTCTGTCAGACTTTCCATTAAATCCCTGATTTTCAGGGTTTAATTAATAATAACAGTGAAAATTAATGTGAGTAGAATTAAAACCACTGTCACAGCCCTACTGCATATTAATTCCTGATTTTAAGTCTCTACAACATGTGGGACTGATCCAACTTTCCTTCTTCATGCAGAGCTCCCATCACAGGGAAAACCTCTTTGAATGTAAAATTGCTCTTTGGAGACAGCGGATGTTTGTCGGAGCACAGGCAGTGCGACTGGGTACTGAAACACCTATGGCACTTTTCATTTCAGAAAACTGGGAGTTAAGAATTGAATAAAGGAAGAAAATTGCCTGAGAATCCACTTGTTAAACACGGTTCAAATTCATACACCAAAGCCTACAAACATTCAAAATCCATCAGTTAAATCCTTCTCATCAATCAACTCAGTGTAAGCTTATGCATTTACTTAAAAAATATTTGCATTCTCAATTACTGCTAATTTTTCCTAAGCAAGAACCAAGGGATTTGTCCCATAATGGGAGATGTAGAATGTATGTAAATACTCGGAAATGGGCTTTCTCTGGAAGTATGAGAGCAAAACCAATGTTCTGGTACTGAAACAAAAGCTACTGCACTTCAGCAGTTTGGAAGACAGAACAGAAGACAATTCCCTGAAAATAAGGGCTAGTAGCTTCCCATACAACACAAGGAAATTAAATCTTTGGCATAAAAAGATCAAATAAAACTACCTCAGTGTGGAACTGTGGAGAGAGACCTGGCAGAATACTAGAGGATATTCAGCTCTCTGAGAAGTAAATGGTATTACAGCTCAAAAATGGGAAAGCATGAAATTTTCTCAACACTACTGTGAGAAACAGACCCAGAAAGATCAGGGATATGCAAAATATTACAGCAAAGGGTAGAGAGACAGCACATTCAGGAATTGCTGAAAATGTTAAAATATTTTGTTTCAGGTAAAAGCACCTATTATAAGACTTGTCCAGATTCCAAACAAATAGCTGCCATCGTTTTCTCTTACATTAAAAACATATGTTGTAAAGTGAACCTCTATCTCACACTTCAATAGCCAATAGACAGAAAAGGGTTCAAAACTATTTGCTGTTAGAACTGTTAAGTAGGTCAAGGAAGTTCACAAGTAAAATCTCCATCTCATGAAGAAATACTAATATTTGAAATGTAATATAATATATATATAGTATAATATATATATTATATATAAATTGTATTAATATATATATAATGTATACTCTCTCTATATATTGTTTAATATATATATAATGTAATATAATGAAACCTATGGCAACTCAGACAGAAGCACTATCAAAAACAAAGTCCACCTACATAAAAATGGAAATTATGTCATAAACAGTGAGCTGAAAGCAACAGCAGAGAACATGATCTGTTTTTATTAAAGTTGGATACATCTGCAGCACAACACAAAAACTGTGACAGAATGTATGCAATCAAAACATGCTTTAGCTACTCTGATGTATCTACATTTTTGGCTTCACTTCTTCCTGCAGCTGGAGCATTTTGTTCCAACAGCTCTATGCTGTTTTGCAAGCAAAGCTGGCAAAATGCCATAAATTTATGAGAAACTTTGAAAGAGTTTGGTATTAAAGATTTCTACTTTGCAATCAGTATAGCCTGAACTAATAGCACTGCTACTAAACGTAAATGGGGACATCTTACAAATATAAAAGCCAGGCAAATTTAAGTCCCTCTTTTCCATGCAGATTGAGATAACACCTTGCTCTGTCAAAAGGGGAACAGAGAAAATACGTAGATACAGCTGGACGAGTGAACACACATTCCGGTATATGAAGTACTGGCTAATTCTGCAATAAGATTTTGATTCCATCAGAAATAATAAATGGGAAGAGATCACAAAACACATTTACACTGTAAAAGGAGGAAAGGAATTTCTAGCACATTGCACATTTTAGCAGTCTGAACTTTTTTGGCTTGCCATGTTTTACAGTATCTCATCCCTATTACTAATAAATAAATAAAAGACAAATTGCATTTTCTATTGCCTCTCAAGTGATACTTCAGCACTCCTGTAAGCCCATCTTCAGGGACATCCAGAGAATGGCCGGTCACAAGCAGTGACTTCACACACTGCAAGGCCTTCCAAACACGACGTGTGAGCTGTCTCCAGGCAGTCAGTGCTATGGGAGATGAAAGGCTCAGAAAGCACATCATGCTCATGGCTGCTCCAAGTGTGCAAGAGCTACATAAACTGACAGCAGCTGGTGAATAGGTACAAGCAGTAAGAAGTTCGGCCCCAGTTTAAGTCACTGAAGGGTTCATGGGTCAGGTCAGGCTACAGAAGCTGCAGCAGGCAACAAGGGGATCACTCCATTTTTGTGGCTCAAATTCTCATGTTTTATATATATACACACACACACACATATAGCAGTTAGAGAACTGCATAGCTTGCAGTTCCTCTCCTCTTACATTTAGGCTGTCTGTTCCTCACACAGCCACTCTCTCAGGGCTGTAGCTATGCTTTTGAATAGCAGAAGTAACTGGACACTGAGGCAGAGAACAGCTGCTTTTACCACAACTCTTGTAAAGAATTTGCTAGGAGTTTCCTTAAAAAAATTCCTCTTGGAACCAGAACTCTTCACAGGAATTTAGGAATTTTAGTGAAGCTTTTAGGGAGAGGAGTCTTTTATGCCAAAGGCAGGATTTCTGACAAAGAACGGCTTGATCAGCACCTCCATATATAGGTAGGTACTAGCTTGAAGTGTCAAAGAGCATTCAAAGTTCACCTTCAAGGAAGGGTTTGTAAAGTTGTACTGTACGTACTGGAATACCTGCATTCTTCAGACTGTCACCAGACAAGAAGCTGCCTGGATACATAAGACTCCTACATACCCCAGTCCTGGACAAAGATCCAAGCTACAACCTTTACAACACGGAAACCATTTCAAGGGCCATCTTTCCTGTCAGGGCCAGAGGTACAACGCTGTCCGAATGCTGAATGCACATGCCTAGAAACCTCGGTGTAGGGGAGAGGTAAATAGAGGCTTATTGCGAGTCTGAGAAGCGACACCTGGAAAGCTGCCTAAGGACTGTCAAAGTTCTCCCTCAACACCCATTTGACAACAAAGTTACTCCAATGAGTTCAGTGAAATTATCTGTACGGGGGAGTCTGAGAAAAATGAAGCTGCTTAAATGGTAAAAACCCTCCTTGTACATCTCATCGCACAAACCAAATAAAACAACAAACACAGCAAATGGGAAAATAGTCCAAAGAATACTCTCTGCCTGTAGCTGGAAGTCATTTATGTTACTCAGTGAGACACGATAATGGACATTATTTTTCACTTTGTCAGTTCAAACTGTGACACTGGAGGAAGGACAGGCTGCAAAGGTTTTGTCTGCAGTGCCTAATTTTTCACCACACTGCTCCTGCCCTCTCTCCACTGTGTCAGGGGTACACGAGGTGTTGGAAGGGCAGTGAGACTCAACCAGTGGGTGGAGAGGCTGGAGCATAGGGACTGAATTACAGGCAGCCTGCTGAGTCTGTCTGAAAGGCTGTGCTGTTTCTCTTTATGACTGATATGCATCTATGTTCCCCATGCCATATTACATGGAAGGGATTAGAAATAGGATTTCTGATATTTCAGCTGACATGTCAGGAGAGATCATTTCATGCAACCGTCTATGTTGCAACTTCAAATTCACATATTCTGCTTTCTAAAGGGATTGTATATACTCTCATCTCTATTCCTAGGCTCAAAATCTTATGCATATGACCAATTCTGCAATTAAATGTACTTCAAAGTGTCTAAATCATAGACAATCTTTTGTATCTGTAGGTGTACCTTACTCCCCAGAAACACAATTGGCTATGTGAAATAGAAATAAGTATTAAAATAGCTCCAAAATCTAGGTATATCACAGCTTGCAATAGTCTGGAAGTTGTTTTGAAAAGCAAACATTAACAGAAGAGAATAAAACAGGGAAAAAAATACCTTAAATTTGCTGTAAGTGCCAGGTATTCCTGCCTATAAATAATGCTGTCACATATAAATCTTAAAAAACAGATTACTGCAACTATCAATATAGCTTTACAGTATCTAAAAATTTGGTTTATTTTTAAAGAAAACTACAGGATCATAATAAAAAATATTATATTACATAATACTTTACTGGACATATAGCAAACATGACAGCAAATATACACTTTAGAAATATTAACTATTGCATGAAGACTGTAACATTCCATGACAGAGTGCAGTAACAAGACTTAGGACCACCTGATCTCCCTGTACAAAACATTATTAAATTCCCGATAGTTTCATGGGAAATGTAACATTTTTTATGCCTCCATGGAAATAGGCTTTGAGCCTCCAACTGTATTATAGAGATGTAAGATATTCTAACTCTTCCGTGTTCAGGCAGTCGAAATTCCAACAGTACTACACAGAAAAATTGCTTGGGTTTTGCCCTCATACTAGAATGGATGACCTAGACTATGGTCATTTCCAGCACTCCAGCAATGATGTTTTCCATGCTGAATTCATGCAGATCACTGTCCACAGCAGATACAATTTAACATAGCTCTGTTGGTTCAGATGAGACACTGAGGATCTGTTTGACTGCTTTTAGTAAGTTTGTCCAGGGTGGGAAATAAAATCATCCTTCTTCTGGAGTACTGAATAGTATCAAAAAATATTAATCAGAAAGTTCCAATTGCTAAAAGTTCTATGTCCTAAAGAAAGCCAAGCTCACTTTCTGCCCCAATATTCTAAAAATATGTGATTTATGCCAATATTTTCTATGGATATGTACACAACAGAACAAATACATTGAAGAGAAGATCACTTTGGGCCCACAAGTATATACCTGAGAAAGTATTAGAATGTTTTTGTCTGAAGCATGAGCTCCATCTCATTATACTGCACTGTGTATAACTTATTATCCCTAATGCATAAATTGATACCATTTGAAGAAAAGGGACCACACACATTTATAGGATGAACAACAAAAGACCTTGGTTCTCTGGAGGATGTTCCTGCCACATTTCCTTCTGCTGTTCTCCATCAAAAGCTGTTGCCTTGACAACTGTGGGGCATTTTCTGGCTCTATGTATGCTGGTGGGAAGAAGGCCAATTTCTTCCCACACACACACAAAAAAAACAAAAACCAAAAACAAAAACAGAACTGATAAGAAATAAACAAGTAATAACTGTTCCAGTACCCTCAATACTACCAAAATGAGGAAGAAAAGAAGGAATTGTATTAGATGTAGTTTTTTAAGTCAGAAGAAAAAATATTCAAGCACTGAGGGACTCACAGATGAAAGTGAGGAACTGAAGAAATAGCAATTACTTGAGACTCTAGCAGTGCTAGGAATAGCTGTGGCTAAGGTCAGGGCTCAGTTCTTCTCTTTGACCAGATTCCTGCAACTGTAATGCCACTGGCCTTCCATGGCACTGCCCTGGCTTTACTGTTACTCTGTTTATAAAAAAAAGAAGTGATACTAAACATATATATGGAATGGATCTGTTTGTAATTTCCACTACCTCTGCATATAGCCTTTGAGAATACTAAATATAATTAACTTTATCTTGAATTCTGTGCCTCATTTTTCTTTTTTGAGTGCAAGTGTTCTTCAATCAACATGTCTCCAAAGCAAAAAAAAGAGTAAAGAGATGACAGTATGTGCATTTCACTAGAAAGAACAGGAGATGGACACAATTTATTTGCAGCACAGAAACACCTATCAGTGTGTTGCCTCAAATCTCTGGCCCCTTCTGTTTCCTTTAACTAGCATGGAGATTTTCAGCTATGGAACATTCATTTGTGTGGCTGCTCTGTACCAAAAAATTCAACACATCCATGAGGAAAAAAATCACATGCCTTGAAAGTCAAGGCTTCTACAAAGAAACACAGATATGCTGTCATAATCTTTAAATGCTTAATTACTTTAATCATGTATCATGGCTTTTGCCATTTCTCTTGAGTTATCAAACCTTAACCTCCTTTAAGGGTTAGTGAAAACACAAGCTACCTATCTTGCCAGTAGATATTTAACAATTACGTTACATGCATTCTTTCCCAAGATTAAATTATTTTAGAAAGTACTCATTAGTAATTAGAGCTCAATTTTCAGACAAAAGCAGCTAAAATTGCCTGTAATGAAAAGCAGCGTACTCTGTATTGCAAAGAAACTGCAGTATATAAAGAGACAAATCTGCCAAACGTACCTAACACCACTGAAGTTCTAGTCTAAGTTTATTTACTGTATTTTATTCAATGAAAGGAAAGACAAAGGCTGCTAGCAGCATAAATTCAATATGCAAACATCTATGGTCAGGATTCACAATATATTAGCCTGCTAGTCAAACTAATAGCATTTTTATTTTAAGTTAAATGGAAGGGGATTAGGGCAAGAAAACATCCTTTATTGACCACTGAACACATGACATTGTTTATTACATAAAAGGCAATTGCTTAGTGAAGATTGCCTCTGCTTTTGCTGCAGAAAATGTCTTAGTTTGCCATTAACCCTTCTCCCCTTACAGGATAGTCACATATGTACCACTGCTTACAGAAGCATAGGCAGCCTTCTGCATGATTGAGGGCAAGAACTTTGTAATGCACTACCTTTATCTGTCATATTTTGGTCTACAGCAGTAAATTTTGTATGCTTCTACAGACTACTCCCCAGAAATATGGTAAAGATGTGGCCTTTTATACAAAGATAAGGTACACAAATGATATCCAGAGAAAATACGGTAATAGAAAATAACAGGCTCAAACAACAATGAACAGCTCACAGTCAAATCCAAAAGCATTAGAAGATTTCAGGCTGTGTGGTAGAGTACAAATCCATCTTGGATCAAATTATTCACCCATTTACTGTGGTCCCTTGCTTGGCCTGGCAATTAGTTCAACTGTGGAATGGTACTTATGGGTACATTCACAATCCCTACATATTCTCTACAGCACAAATGGACTTTGGAATGGAAGAACTGGATACAGGCTATCCCATGTAACCAGAATAACAATTACTTTCATATAGGATGTTATATTTGTGTCTGAAAACAAAATGCAAGCACGCTGGGTTTATGTGGCAAGATTTTAGTAGCGGGGGGCTGTAGGGACACCCTTTGTGAGAAGAGCCCAGGAACTGCCCCGTGTCAGATCAGAGCCAGCTCCTAATGGGCCACACCAATGGCCAGAGCTGAGCCAATAAGCAGTGCTGGGTCTGCCTCTGGGAAAGCAGATTTAGGGAAAAAAACACTACTGTGCAACAACAGCTGAGGACAGCAGAATGAGAAAATGAGCGAGAAACAACTGTGCAGGCACCAAGGTCAGTGGAGAAGGAGGGCAGGAGGTGCTCCAGGCAGTTCTTGAAGAGCTTCTGCCTGTGAGAAGCCCACACAGGATCAGTTTGGGAAGGACATCATCCCATGGGAGGGATCTTTCCCCATCTTTCTTTGAAAATGAGGAGTGAGAGAATGGCTGTGGTGTAGTTTGAGAGTGAAACCACCAGAGCAAGTAAATAATTCCCATCTCCTACCTGGTGTTGCAGGCAATCTGAAGCAAGTTAGTTGACCTCTTTGTATCAATTATCATACTACTGTCTTAGTGAGATTCACTGTTTTTGGCTCTAACAGAGTTAACTTTCCTGTTTTGTGTAACATACATATATGTTTAGCAATACATCTAGAGTTTAGCAATTCTACGTGCTACTATAAAACACTGCTCCCTTGTTTGGCCATCTTAACATGGAGAAAACTCTTCTACTAAGCAAAAAGTTATGTTAGCAAAACTCACTTAGGCAAAACAATATCCAAACCTGATCTTTCATCCATTCTTGAGAAACTCACTTGAGCAGACTCAAAGCAGAAATGAATGTTGCTGGACAGGCCTGATCTGGAGAAATGGACTTTTTCCATTCTGTCTAAGAAGCAAAAAGAAAGAAATGCTATTTTTGGAATAACCAGTTCTGATTTACCATTGCATGACACCATTTCTACAATAATTTGCAGGGAAATGTTGCAATTAGTCTAATCCAGTAGTGATGTAAGCTACTTTGTGAATGTGTAAATAAAACTGTTTTATGCTAAGCAGCAGAGTCTCAGTCTCTTCTCCAAACTGTCTAAAGTAATTTTGGTTATAATTAGCAACCCCTCCAAATGTAATTATTCTGACGGACAATTCTGCAGTAAAGCTTCCCTTCCCCTCAGATGGGTTTTAATCAGAAAGGTCACTTTGGCTAATAATTTCTATGACCTTTTCTCCCCCTCCTCCATAAAGTTGAAAGCTTGAGTTAACATATGATGTCTTTAGAGGAAAGGAACATCCTGTCTTCTACAGATTGAGAAGCATGCTATAACTCTGACCTACAGGAATAACTTCTGGGAGAAAAAATAAAATGCAGTCTCCTAAAGTAAGTCTTTGGCTTTACTCCCAAATTCCTGAGAAGGCTACTCTAATCACAGCATCAAACAAAAGGGTGATTTTTTTAATAAGTTTTGTGCTTATCTAAAGCAGAGTGCTGCTTATTCTTTGACATTTGCTGACTTCCACCCAGTTTAGACAGTTCCTTAGCTGCCTGTCAGCTGACCAGTATCAACAATAACAACAATACATTTTTTATTTTCTGAACACTTGAATCTAAATAAGTTAGCACTGCACATGTATGCGTGCACACACAAACGTAAGTAATATCTGAACATTTTCAAAGGGCAACAAGTCCTTTTGGAATAGTAATGAATAGAGAAATCATCTTGTGCCCTGCATGAGATAGGTGCATTTCAAGATTTTCCTATATAGCTTCCATGAAAATTGGCCCCTAAGCAAGGGTGTGAGTCATTGATGAATACAGCTCTAAGGCTTCATGCTGTGCAGCAAGAGCTGTAAAAGGCATTAGAGGAACACAGGGGAGGAGAAGGAGGGGGTGGGGGGGGGTTAGGAGGTTATTATATAGAACCTAGTAATGGTTTTACACGAACACTTTCTGAACAGTGTTTTGAAAACGTACGTCCTAAACCACTGGGCACTGACCAGATTACTGGGCGCAGCGCCCTCTGTTGGCGGGCGCTCACGGGGGGCTGCACGTCCTCCTTCACTGCCAGAAAACAAGCTTTTGTCGACACTTGAAAGGATTTGTTGTCCCATCTACACTAGTAATGTCTCCCAGTAGAAAACTCCACTCGTAAAGGGAAAATTACCCTATGCCACTGGGGCTCATAATAATTTTTCCAAAAAAATTGTGCTGGAATATTGATTTCTCCTCTGCATCCATATCCACAATATGAAAATCCACAACCACAGCACTGTAACAGCAAAGTCACATCCTTTACCAATGTAATTGTACAAAAAGTATGGAACAGGTCAAAGAGAATCTACTGGTGACAAATCTGAACTTCAAATTTCACAGGTATTTGGCTTACACTTGTCTTTCTTTTCTTAATATCAACAAATTAAAGCTGCTGTCAATTCATATCATTCACAGGTCAAGAATGAACTATACATAACCAATAACACATCTACTTAATTATGAGCAATTCAGCCTTTTACATATGTGTTTCTCCTATCCAAGTTAGAAGATCCAAGGGTCAATACAGACATAACACTTTTAGCCAATATGTAAACCACTGTCATACCAGATTCTCCATCCTTCAAGCTTTCAACACGTTCCGTCTCCTACCCACCACTCTTTCCATTTTTGCTTCTTCCATTGCGTTACCAGCCTTGGGAAATCCATCTGAAAGAAGAGATCCAATATACGCCATTAAAAATATCTTGAGACTTACAGATGACAGGACTTCAATGTGACATTTATTATAAGCACTGTCTACATGACAGTAGCTGGCTGTGTTGGTTTAGTTTTAAATAATCTAACAGATCTTTAAATGGGTCTTTTTCTGTTTTTTCAGGAGACCACTCAGCCAACAGACCTTCATAGGTCTTTTCTAGAAAATTTTTGTTAACTAAAAAATAAAAAATTTAGAAAACAAATCATAAGAACTGGAAAATTAAAAAAAAAAAAGGGAACAAACAGAAAATGAAACTTTTTTTCTCCCTCCATAAGACGTAAAAGAGGTGCAACACATTTCAAATGCAATAAAACAGCGATTTTACTCTTGTATCTTTTGAAGAAATAGGCATAGTGGCCTACATCACTGGAAACTCAATCCAAAAGGAATGCTGAAACAGGAAAATAGTTTGCCACATTGCAATTATTTTTGTTTTTCCTAACAGCCTTAACACCTATACATTTTACAAGAAAAGAAAAAACTTGGTGTACTTATTGATTTTTTTTTTTTTTTTTCAGAATAGAAATTACATTTCCCTTTTTAACTAAAGAGTTTGATAACTGTTAAAAAAAACAACCAAACCAAACACAAAACCATCACCCTGAAATACACAGACGTGCAGCACCATCTGCTGGATCAGCATCCCTGCCAAAAATTTCTGCACTTAACAGAAGATAACTCCACAGGCTAAAAAGAAAAAAGCCATACAAACAAAAGTGTCTCACAGACACTAATTTAGCCAGCAACCAGCAAGCAAAGGGAAGGAGCACGGAATTTCCATGAAAACTGCAAAATAATACTCTACTCATACGGCGCTTTCTACATCTCAGACACTATGTATAAAGTGCTGTACTTAAATATAAACAGACCACCCGCAGTTACCACAATTCAGTTTGGTGTGCGTTTTAACTCCATTAAGATGATTTTGATCTGGCTTCTTAGCTGTACACATCGTGTTACGTGATTATAAATTCACATTTTTCCGCTGAACATTTGTGAACAGAACTGCTCCCCTAATGATAAACAGCTATCCAGTAATTTGCGTTCTTATGGTCAAGTGCTATGGGATCTCACATTAGTAGCACACGAGCTCTTTTTGGACGGCAACAGACCATCACTGCAATATCACATTTCATCACAGATGCTGATTTAAAATCCCTGCGAGACAAGTTGTGAGATGGATTTATCTTTCACATTGCAAGTAGAAAAAAGTTCTTGTCCTGGATATGGGAAGAAGGGGCCCTTAAGCGTATCACACGATGTACCACAGCAAATCCTGCCACTCTTTGTAGCTTCTACCACCAAGCTTTCCATTCTGTCAGGCCATCTAACTGCAATCTGTGAATTCAGCTCTTGGTGCACTTCTTCCAGCAGGTAAAAAAGCACACCCTCAGCAGGCACTCCTTTCACCCAGCACCTTCCCAACAGGTGCAGGTTCTGCCTTATTTTCACAGCAGCAAATCACACATTGTACTGATCTGTTTTCTGATTACCTTTATTTCTGATACAGAACTGAGACTTGTTTGTTCTAAGAATTTATTCTGAAAAGCCAGCTGCCTTCACATCATTTTTCTAGAAGTCTTCTCCACATACACTAGAACCAAGAATGCGAGTGCCTTAAGAAGCCTGAGTTCAAAACAAAGGCAGTCACAACTTCATACATCCAGAGGGCAGACAGAACTGTGACAGGAAGCAGTTAATTTCTGTCCCAAGCCACTACATTTGCCTGCTGCATACCAGGGCTGCTGCTTCAAAAACACGATTCAGCTCAACTCAGAACCACTCTCTGTGCCACATAAGACAACAGAGATCTTCCTAGTGGCATATTTGTTTCAGTTAGCTTGAGCATTGGATTTCCTGCAGCATTCCTCTGTTTGTAAAAACCCAAGTTGCCTCCTAGCACTGTTTTTCTGTTTTCTCTATGTGCTGTAAAGAACTTGAGTGACTTTTCTCAGGGGTATGATCAGTGAAGTAACCAGCAGCAGAATACCAGCAATAATCTCCAAAAAATAGCATGTTGCCATTTTAATGCATTCACATCAGGCCTGACTTCCACTGTTTTTCTTCTCCAAAAAGCATTATATACATGTGTCTACTAAGATCATTGTTTCTCACTATGGCCACTGTTGCTACCATACCATAGAATTACGTTCTATATTCAAATTCACTGCAAACCCCTTCTCCAAACCTTCTCCAACAAGCACGTTTTAATTGTGCTATGATTAATTTATTTAATGTCTTTTCACCCATTAACCCTTTAAAGACATAGCAGTACTTATTTAACTTTCTAAGAATATCTTTTCCTAAGGATACAAAGTCATCTTTCTTTAGGCTGGACTCCTAGCAGCTGCTACTTCATAGTTTCATCTCTCCTTTTTGAGAGTAAATGCTATACTGCTGCAGGAGAAGATGGGTTAATGCTTCAAGCAGACAGCGAGGCAGACAGTTACCAACAAAGGGCTTCTGCAGCAAGATTATATTTCCTTCAAAGTCTGGAGTGCCTTTCTTCATCCAGGAACAACCAAATTCAGTGGTAAGGGGAGGCTTCCCAACCCAGAAATATAAATAAATTCAGGTTCAAGACGCTTGTTAAGAGATAACACTAGCAGCCTGTACAGAAACAGGACATGCAGCAGGCAGCTCCTGGCAATCTATGGTTTGGCATAATCAGTAACAGGTGAGCTGTTACAGACTGGCTCCAGCTGTGATGCATAATGCTTGGGCATGAGGGCACTGAACCAGGTGGGATTCTGATGAGCTGTGAGCTGCCTTCAAATAATTCTACAAACGGCCCTGCTCGTGCCTTGATGCAAGCTCATAGAACTTTCTGGATTTCGCACCAGTGCACAGCAGGCTTCTCCCCTACCTTCCTACCGACCAAGGGAGGACTCACACTGCAGCCCTCGCTTTTCCCACATCACAAACATACGAGCTCAAACCAGAACACGAACCTTTCCTCTCCACCTACACTCACTTCACCTGGTGCTGTAAGCAGGTACTGCGGCCACAGCCTTCTGACGCCTGGAAGAGCACAAACAAAGGGCGCCGGGAGCCAGAGCGGGGCATAAAGGGGGGCAGGGAGGGAGGAGCAGCCTGGAGGCGCTTCTGGTGTCACAGCTCACCAAGGCGAGGGGACACGGAGAGCTGCTGCGTTAAGAGGCGGGCGGGTTTTTGCTCACCCATTTAACGAGCTAAACAGCTCTTTCAGCAGTCGGGCTGCCCGCGGTAGCAACCGTGCAGCAAGAGCCCCTGGCGAGCAACCAGAACCCCTCTGCTCAGTAAGAAGCAGCCCGCTCCGCCTGTTACAGCCAAGGAGGCAGAGAGAACCGGGGCGGGGCGGGAGGCGGCTCGCGGTCCGCACTTCCCGTTCGGTTACCGAGGCCGCGGTTGCTAAGGCGCTCGGCCGCCCTCCCCCTCGTACCTGCGGCCATGCAGAGCACCGGCAGCCGCTCCGCCGCCTCGGTGCTGGCCGAGCTCCAGTGGGACGATGGCTACGCCGTGCCCGTGGCCAACGCGGAGAACAGGGCGCTGGAGGACGACGTGAGCGCGGGCTGCGGCCGCGGGGCTGTGGGGCAGAGCCGGGGTTCGCACACGGCGGTGGGGCGCGGGAGGCTCTGTCAGCTCGGCCCGCGGAGCTCAGGAGCGCTCGGGAGGCGTTTGTGGGCTGCGAGTCTGCGGCAGGCTCGGTTACCTTGATCAGCAGCCGTACTTAATGGCTGCTTTTGCTGCTTGTTAAAAAAATGTAAACCTTTCACTTGGCTTCTTTGAGCAAGAAGCTGCAGGTAAAAAGCGCTCCCCTCCAACGGTTAGTTGACAGTTCTAACTCTTAAATAGCTGCAGAAGATGGAGAAAGAAAAAGCGAACCTGCAAAATCAGCTGGCCGACTTTGAAGAGCGCGTGGAAGCGATGACATCGCATTTGAAAAACGTGAGGCAAGAGTTCAGCTTCACCCAGGTAAACTGGCACACCAGCAGGTTTGTCAGGCAGAGCTGGGATCTGAGCGCCTGTCTGTGGCTGGCATCCCTGCGTGCACGGCAGCTCTGCAGGAGTTCCTCTGGCCTTTCATCTTTCACAAGAAACACAACTTTAACTGTGGTCCCCAGGGATGGCAGTTGATGGTCCATCAACAGACCCTCCTGGATCAAATGATGGTACCTGGAAAAAGCCAAAAAGGACACAGTTTAGATTTCTTTACTTGAAGATTTTAGAAAAGACAAAAAAAAAAAAAAAAAAAAAAAAAAAAAAGTCAAAGAAGAAAATGAGTGTTAAGGAAAAACATTTTTAAGCGTTTTAATAGTCAAGAGTTAATTGTGAGATTCTAAAGAAGAATGAGATGATAAAGGTGCAAGACTGCACTTTTGCTGTGAGTTATTGGCTAAAATGGGCTGCTCAGCTTCTAAAGAGTTCCAAGTCAAAGCTGCACACCTCTAAAGTTGAGAAACTGTCCTGCACCTGAACAACTTCCTTCCTGTCACTGTGCTAGCTGCGCATTTTCTTTGGCGAATGAGGAAAGAGGCAGCACATACCATGCAAGAGAAGCCTCTAGAAAGTGACAGATTTGTATTATGTAGGGGAAAAATCCTGTCAAATCACTTTGTCAGAAAGATTAGACAATATACTGCCGTAGGCCAGCCTGGTGGTCTCTCTCAGCACAGAACAATAAAAGCATTTCATTCCCTGTACCTTCTGAATCTTACTTAAAGCTGCTGTGAGATTAAGACTTTTATTCTAAGAGACTAAGATTTAGACTTTAGAAGATCAGTATCCTGAATTTACGGTGAAATATCTTTGAATTGGGTTCCTAGGGGCTATACATGGTTGATCTGGGGATATCTGATACAATGTGTGTATAAAAAATATATATATTGTATTTACATACGAATGCATTTACATGACAAAATCATGTCCTCTCTTTTGGTTCATTGATGATGAGGGCCTGTTGTCTGTTGTAAAATGCTGAACTCTGTTATTCTCTAGTCTCTTTACAAAGCCAGAGAGAATGAAATTGAAACTGAACAACACTTTAAAGCCCTTGCTGAAAGAGAACGTGGACGTCTTAAAAATGATATCAAACGTCTGGAAGATGAGACTGTTTCCTTAAGAGAAAAGAAAAACAGTCAAGAAGTAAGTTTCAAAAGCTTTTGTAAAAGACCTTCTGTATTGCAGTTAAATTTTATTACTTTTGTCCTCACTTGCAGTTAAAGAAATAATATTATACGTCAAGATAGCTGTTTATAATTAAAATTTTTAAACTGTAATAAGGTAAATAGAATGACACTGAGGTTCTCCTTGCACAGACTGGTCCAAGCTTAGCAAACATTAACTAGATACTGAAAGATTTCACTTCTTAATGCCAGATACACAGCCACACATCCATATCCCTATCTTGATAACTCTGGAAGTTATTTTCTTTATGGTTCACAGATTAGATTGTTGGTGGCAAGTCTTCTTTCCCCCATATAGTTTCAGGGTATAATTTTGAAATGCAAAGGTTGCTTTACATAAAAAAAAAAAAAAAAATTAAAATTGAATGCTGTATAGCTACAGCATCTTTATTTTTTATTTTCTTATTTTTCTCAAATTATTTAAATTTTTATTTTTCATGATCTCTTTCTTCTCATTATGTCAGTTTGTACTCTCCACTCTCTCAGACAGGTTAGCAGCATGAAGATATCTTTGCTATTCAGCTGCATCCAGATACTATCATATTTCTATCAGGAGGTCTCTTCACAGTCATACGGGATCATCTATAAATTCATGCACAGGATAAGGATCTAAAAACTAGGTGCTAATATATGAGGGAGAAACTTCCTCCTGTGTTGCCTCAGATCAGTTTATTATGTGGAACAAACATCTTGCACATGGGTATCACATGCAGGAATTGACATTTCTGGTTAAAATTTGTACGTTAGGTTTCTGATAACTTATTGCCTTGTTTCTTCTTTAGGACATATATTAGCACTTCTCAATTACTGGACACAAGAAAAACAAACAAAACCAACTCAAACCTTCTTATCAATTCTGTTGACAACAATATATGTGTAAACTTGCTACGGTGCTTGAAGCAGTTGTTTCAATTACTAATCAAAGAAAGTATTAGCTATTTAATATTAACCCTTAAATTTATTTCAAATTTTATTAGAATACTATAAATAAAACCATGAAGAAGTTGGAAAGCTTAAAACAACAGATGAACTGTGATGAGGAAGTTTTGGAGAGTTGGATACAGGAATCAAATCGCAAAGATAATGATATTATCACAATCCAGAAGTATGCACAACAAGATGAAGGGAAACTAGGAGTAAGTAGAAATGACTGCAATTTTCAGAAACAAAACCAAAAAAACATTTTTATTTTTTTTTTAGTATCTAAAGACTTTGTTACGTTGTCAGATCATGTAAGATTGAGATTTTGTACATTTCAAACTCATGATTTCTAATTAGCACAAGAGTGCTTGTATAAGGCTCATTTGAACTTGAATAAGGCTCATTTCAAGGGTAAGAGAGAACATGTTTGACAAAAGATGAAAGGCATAACTGAAGACAGTAACTTCTTTCTCTATAAGGGTAACATTTAAGTTTGAAGTTTTCTGAGAAAGTGTACAAATAGTTAAAAAAAATTGGCTGACAATTATACTTAATTCAGTGGGAAGTTTGTTCAATAATGTGAGTCAAATTTGGAAAAGTAATGTAGATTTTTCTCATTAGAACTAACATTTTTAATATTACTTAGTATAAAATATTGCTATTTCATTAAAGAGTAATGAAGGATGGTATAAACAGACACTCCCATCACAAGCTCAGACTTCCTAATGGTTCGTTACCAACTACAATATTAATTTAGAACTATCCCTTCTTTTTAGCTTTGAAATAAGTGGGGAGAAATCTGATTTTTACTCATTAAATATTTAACCACAAAGCTATAATTTAGAGAAATAGTCTCACTGATAACATCTCCATTAGCAAGTCATATGGTATGCTAAGAATAGTTGAGTGACACAGCTGGTGCTGAGGAGTCCACGCACATTATGTACATGGTGAAAAGGTTCCTTTGGCCGAACTCCAGTCTGGACCCTAAGAGACAGAAGATTATGGCCTCTTGTACAAGAAAAATTTGGGTTCTTAGTTCTTTGTTCTCTAAAATACAGTAAAATGGATGCATCAATAACTCCATCCTTGGTTGCTGCAGTTTCAGAAATTTAAGATATTTTAATATATTTACTTTTAAATACAGTCTATTTTCATATCATTTCATTTCAGGCACTAATCCTTCAAGTAGAAAAGTTGACCATGCAAGCAAATCAGAAACGCAGAGCTCTTGATAATGAGCTTACAGAAACCATAACTGCTCAGGTTTGTCCATGAGGTTCTTGAAGTATCTTTTCATATACAATTTTTTTAAAACAAGAAATCATAGGGATGCTTTCTATTAAGCAGATGGAGCTCGACAAGACAGCTGAAGATTTTCGCAGAGTTCATCAGGAAAGGCAAGAAGTCATCAGGCAGTGGGAGAATGCAATACAACAGATGCAAAAAAGAGATCAACAGATTGATCACTGTGCTTTGGTAAAGCTGCTTTGCCTGATTTGTATCACTGTATCAGCCTACTTTTCTATCTGCGAGACTGAGAAATTTTGCCACTTACTCATGAGAACAATTGGTGTTTTTTAGATGCTTAGTGTTCTTGTTGTTGACCTCTGTATTTTATTAAGATGTTTTCAAAGTCCGTATATTTCTGAAATGCAGTCAGAATTTATTTTGAAAGCATTCTCGCTCAGTGTAAATAATAGTGCTCTGCTTGATGCTGTATCAGGTTTAATTTTCAGTCTGAAAATGCATTGCATGCCAGTTTCAGTACTTCTCTCTTGTATGACCTAAGAATCTAAGAAGCAACAAGATGGAGTGTTGTTTATTTCTTAGTGCAAAGACAGTCAGCAGCAGTGAGGGGATTATGTCTGGGCTGCGATATAAAGAAAGGAAAATAAAATAGTGAACATTTAGAATTGGAAAGAGTTAGCATTTCTACATCTGTGAACGAATGTACAAGAAGTCTTAACAGTAATCTGTCTTTTGGTTTTGCTCTAATCTAACACGTTACATAATGCAAGAAAACCTAAAGTGTTTTTCTCCCAATAGCTACTAGCAGAGTTAAAACAGGAGATGCGAAAGAAAGAAAGTGTGCTGAAAGAGAAGGCTTCCTTTTTAGTGAATGAAACTATTAATAATATGGAATATGAAAAACAAATTTCTTGTGCTGAGCGGGAAGCAACCAGTCTCCGGAAAGAGTATCAAACTCAGGATACTTACAGAGTTCAGCTGGAGAACGAGGTGAGGTTGTCCAGTCAGTTCAGAAAATGAGACAAGCATAATTTCTTAATTCTGATTAGATGGAAGAAATACATGAATAGCATTTACTTTTCTGTTCACATACTAGGCTCTTCAGTAGTTCAACAAAACATCTGTTCTTCTCAGTTTACTCTTGATTATTTAGATCTTAAGCCTGAATTTAAT